GACCCATAGCGACCCTGTACAGGGTTTCCGAGGGTGTAAATCTTTACGGGAGTAGAAAGCCTCATCTTTCTCCCGCGGAGCAGCTGGTGTTATAAAATCCTTACTGTATAATTTTAACATTGAGCCATCTCACTGTTGATTGTTGTTGTTTTTTTCTCATTCAAATGATAATTTTCCTGGTTTATAGTATGATGGCTGTTTTTCCATGGGATCTTGGACATTTTAGGTGTTATGTTTTAATCTGTTTAGAAAACAGTCTCCATTTTTTTTTTTTACCCTACAGATCACGACCTATTTTTGTAGATTTAGTTTTGGAGTCATTGTCATGCAGCTCTGATTGGCTTCATTTGTTTGCTTCCCAGAATCCAATGTGAGCCATGAATAGACTTCATATTGTATTACATTTCTTTAACCTTTTGTTATATTTTGGTCAGTTTTATGTGGGATCACTTTGATATCTACCCAGGACTTTCTTTTCTCCAACTCCCTCCTTTCTGAAATCCTCCACCATTCTTCTACCCATCAGGCAGAGAGATAAAATCCAGATTCCCACCTTGACCGCCCCTGAGAGCACATGAGCAGGGCAAATGGAGTTACAGCAACTATTACCAGATAGAGATGGAAACTTGGTCTCTGCTGATAGCACCCCAGTAGGGATGTGTAGCCCATCTTGCACTGTTTCTCCACTTAATTATTTTCTGGCCCAGGCAGTAGAGTAGGGGGTCACTGGTTTTTCCTTCACATTGTTTGACTGGAATAAGGTAGGCATTGTCAAACCCAGCTGTTGTTGTTGTTAAGTGCCATCGAGTTGGTTCCGACCCATAGGGATCCTGTATAGGGTTTCCAAGGAGTAGCTGGTGAGCTTGAACTGCCAGTTTCACAGTCCCCTGCGTTAACCCACAGCTCCACACCAGGAACTTTTCTTGGTCCTTTGACTAGAGCAAGAAGGCTTTTCTTGGTGGAGCTTGGCGGGTGTGTGTGTGTGTGTGTGTGTGTGTGTACTGTATTTCTCAGTTCCATTCTTTCCCTGTGTCCCAGTTATGGGCAGTTATGAGTCAAGCTGCTGCAAACATTCGTGTACAGGATTTTGCATGCACTGTATTTTTGAATGAGGTAAAATATTTTAATAGGAATGTGATGCCTTCAAATAGAGCAACAGTTGCTTTTGGGTGGCAAACGTATTAGTCATTGTTTTACTCTTTTTTCTAATTATTTGGTTTTTCCTAAGTTTTCAGTAATGAGTATGGTTGCTGTGTAAGAAGGCAAAAGTTATAAAAACAAAAGGATTGCGTCAGTTATGTTTTGTGATATACCATAAAAATACATATGTCATGAAAAAGAGATGTCTTGCTTTTTCCCTTTAACTTTAAAATTTTTATTGCCTATATAAATATGATAGAACATTTAGTGTGTGGTAAATTGTTTATAAGTTCATATCATTCACAAAAGGATGTAATACCAGAAAAAAACAAGATTAAATAATAATTGAAGACATAGAGTTAAAGATTAATAAATGAAATACTTTGTTTTCTAATAACAATAGAAATATAAAACTATGGCTATTATAATTTCAGTTAATTGATTTAATTATGTTCTTTTTAGACATCTCTTCCCATTTTTCCAAATGCTCTAATGTAGGCAGAATGAAAAAAGACACTTAAAAGAATACTTAAAATATTCACAAAAGAGATTGAAATGATCTTTTTCTAAATGAAAGGTTAAATTAACCTTTTAAAGGTCAAAATGAAAGATTACAGTTAAATTAACATACATCCCAGTTGAATATATCATTTGTTGAATTATTTATCGGATGAATTAGTTCACCCTGGTTTAGGGGAATTGATGAACTATCTAGTTTTTGAAGGGTATTCATATTACTCTTAAAATATGAATCATTCAGAATGACAACAGATTAGAATGGGGTCATTGGGTGGTGTTCACTGATAAAGACTTCACTACTAACCACAAGGGTGGCCATTTGAACCCACCCAGAACATATCTCCTGCAGATAACTTTCTATCTCTAAGGTTTTATTACTTACATAGTAACAAAACTCATTTAAGTTATATGCTTTCCCTTTACTAGAGATAATAATTAATAAACAATACATTTAGGTAGACACAAAAAAGAAAAGCAAAAATGACTTTGCCTCTCAGTTCATGAATGATACGATCCTCTTTTCCTCCTGAGTGAAAAACCACGTTGTATCAGTTCTCCTTCAAACATGCATGGGGAAAGATCTAAAACTTTGTCAAAGCTGAATACACTTGTTTATGCATGATGAGACAGTTGACCTAAAATGTTAATCTGATCATTTGTTTTCTTTTGTAGGAATCTTTGCTATAGAGATTTCTGACATGAAGATTCTTCACTTTCTTGGGAAAGCTCAAAATTACAAAAAAAATTTTTTTTTTTTTTTGCTATATGATTGCATTTATCTTTTGAATGCTTGACAATGTTGAATGTATTTATTAACTTTGTGCCTCTGAATCTCTGTTGTCATGTGCCATATCGCTTGATCTGAGATGACTTATAGAAACAAAAATGTGTATGGCTCTTTCTATCCATACAGTAATAGTGAGTATAAAATCTGCTTACTTCACTATGAAACACTGTTATGTTAACTATCCGGAGTAAATAAAGAAGCTTATAAAAAGAGGGAAAAGTGTTTTTACAAAACTGATTTCCTTTCCTTTCTTAGTATCTCAAAATAATTGGTTGGTTAACTTTTTTCTTTGTGATTTATGCTTTTATGGCTAGAGAAGTTGTGCCAATGTAGGCATGGTTTACCGATACTGGCCTAGGTCTATATATTTCATTTTGGAACCAACCTAACATAAATTCCATGCCATATTTGACTTCAGTTCAGCAGAAAGTAGGAGTGTGTCAGGGTTTTTAAATCCATACTAATGTAGACTCAAAGATGAATTAACATACATTTTTGACAATTGTGTTTACTGCTGTTTTTAGGAAGGTAGGTAATGCTCTTTCGGTCAAGAATGTAAGATTTAAAAATCTGTATTTTTAATAAGTATTCTTTAAAAAAATTAAAGTACTGAAATCAACCTAATTGACATTTATTTTTATTTTATTTTATTTTGGTGTGTGGCAACTCTGTAATCTAGAATAACAAGGTCACTGATGTTTCCTCTCCCGTCCCTAAATTCTCCTAAATCTTTTACCTTAATCTGTCCATAGGCTTTGACTGAATGTTGGTATTGGAGCCTGAACACCACTGTAATTTGCTGATATAAGCTATTTGTATTCTTTGTTATTTTAATAAAAAATAAGTCCTGGCATTAATAGCATTCATATGATGTAGCCAATTTCTCATTTTATAATAGTCACTATTCAATATGACTATAGTGATGTACAATAGAGCCCTGATTTAGGACTTCTATAACTGTTAACATTCTGATATTTTGCCATTAATGCATGCCATATATTCATGTGGTTTCATTTTCTAAAACTTTCAGGTTGATTCAACTAGTTTAAGTCAGTCACTTCAGATTGGGAAAAGCTGAATCATTTAAAATAAGATCCCTTTCAGAAATCCATTACAAAATAACATGTAAAAAGAGTTGTTCTTTCTAATATTAAATAACATACTGTTGGTTCGCGGTATGCCATAGAGCTGGTTCAGAGTCATAGCAACCTCGTGTAGAGTTTACATGGCTGGAAATCTTTACCAGAGCAGAAAGACTCATCTATCTCTCACGGACTGGCTGGTGGATTCGAAAATATGCTGGTAAATTTGCAAAAATAATCTTAGCTAGTTGACTGAGTGATCTTAGCACTAGGTCATCACCACATTAATTTCAGTCTCCCCACCTCTGGAAGATCTGACAAGGAGCTTAGTAGTGTCACCTGATACATGCTTTCTTGATCACATGCTGAATATAGAGGCAATCTGTGGGGAGAGGAGCAGGAACATTTGCAGGAATGAAGTAAATAAGAAAGTATTACCATATTTGAATTGTGCCATTAATGACAAAAATATGTAAAAGGAAAATCATATGGTAATTACAAACAGCCAACATATTCAAAGGTAGAGAAATTTCAACTGTATTCTATGTTAAGACTTCAAAGAAAAATTACTTGCTGGACTGCTAACCACAAGATCATCAGTTCAAACCCATCCCCATCAGCCACTCCTTGGATACACTATACAGGATTGCTATGAGTCAGAACTGACTCTATGGCACCTAACAACATGGCAATAGTGAGTGTGTATATATATATATTTTTTTAATTGCAAATATCTTTTTTTTTTTTTAATTTAAGGTTTTAATTGTGGTTTGAGTGAAAGTTTAGAGGGCATATCATCAGTTTGACATTCAACAAATCATATACCTTTGTTTCATTACATTGATTATAATCCCCACCATGTACCATCAGTTAACAGTATTTCTTTTTGTC